GAATCGATACTAACACGTAAAAGAGTACGAAGGAAGGAATATTGAAAATAAAATAATAATCGGTCGTGCGTTTTATTACTGCGTGTGTGTTCTCCACCAACCATTATATTGCATTTCAACAGGAATTTCATTTCACGCGCTATTTTTATCGTGCGATAAAGCCATGGCACACACCGTGATTATCGAAATATCGCACGTTAATTCTATAATACGATACTTATGTGTTGTGCTCTATTCATTTTAATGTATTTCAATAAAACGCGTCGTAAAATTACGGTGCGGTAATTATTATGTCGCGCGGTAAAATAACTCCTGTGTGTCCGAGCCTTATTTTCAAGAAATCAAATAAATTATATACCATACAAATAGTATTGAAAAAAAATAATGATTTATAAATTGTGATCTTAAATATTTTTGTATTTAACTAACGATTTTGTAGATAATTATTAAATAAAGGCTATAATGAGGATAGGTACTCGTATTTTATTTTGGCGACCTTGGATCCGTCAATAATTGTTATTAAAAATCTATATTTTATACATACTCTTAAATTTAATTGTATTATTTAACAGCCATGTCTGTTATATTATTATGAGAATAAATGTTTATACAAACCAAATATTTATACTAAGTCATACAATATTGAGTAAAAAATAATTATAATTTATGTATCGACCTTTATTAGTTTAATTTTTTTTTGCATAAATATTGCTTTAATGACAGAATGTTTAATCTGTGCATACAACAATAATATGTCGACTTAAACATATATATATATATATATAGATATATATATATATATACCATGTGAACAACAAACGTATATTTTTTTTGAGTAGCCTTCACGGAGGTCGTCGATGTATTAACTTAATATGGGAATCACAAATGATTATAATATAAACAATTTTGTTTTTGCTAATTCGTACATCTTTTGTTTAAGACTATTTATTTTTTGGTAAATTAATATCAGAAAATTTCTTCATCGACTAATGCCACTTTGCTATTACAGTAGTAATTACTAATTAGTAATTACATACACATTATCCAAATTAATTACATAACAAATGTACATTCAGAAGAAGTAAATACTCTTAAATAATACATTATAAGGTTGTTAAAATACAGTAGAAAAACTGTTTTTATATTAAATTTAAAATTATCGTTGTGAAATTATACATAATCATCATATTTTAATTGCACATCAGACTTCAATTGACTGATCCTCAAGGATATTATATATTTATATTTAAACATATATAATTTACGAAAATTTCATCAATGCTCGAATATTGTAACTTGGAAGGAGATATAGTCAACTATCAATATCAAAAAAAAAAAAAAATATGAAATGCTAGTTTTTTTATTAACAACTATTTATGAACGATTAAAACAAAAAATTTAAACAAGAATAATTCATTCACATTAGTATATTATACTAAAGTTTATCATATTTAATACAAATATATTTGAAATAAAATTTACAAAAATAATGTATGTAAAAATTACACACGCACACACAAATATTTATATATGTATATATCTGATCAGGGATTGCAAACGTTATGATTAAAACGTTATATTTGACAAAAAACGATTGAAATTTGTAAACGTAATTATAACGGAAAACGATAAACATGAATAATTAAATTACAGTAATAACACAAAACAAAACATAACGATTAACAAAATATATGATATATCATCAAACAAAACATAACGCAAAACGTTATATATTATAGTATATTATTAAAAACAATTAATTTCAATTATTTAATTAATAAATTATAAAATATAATAAAAATTTTAATTCTGAATAATGATAAACGCTAAATTTGTATAACGTTTTGATTGTAAATAACGTTTAACAACATTTTTTTTTTTCAAATGCAAGCCTTGTATCTGATACATCTGTCTAAATTTACTCCTATATTTGTTATAATTTCGAACACACAATCATTTTACATATTATTCTTATATGGTAAGATAAATTTAAAAAAAAATATTAGATATGTGTTTGAGGTTTCACCAGAGTCTACATTTATGTCATATGATGAAATTACAGATATAAACTTCCGCTAATGTTTTATCAGATTTAAAATTTAAAACCATTTTAGTTTTTGTAAAAGCATTGAAAAGAAATTCTATCATCATACGAAAGTATTTCGAACGCTGTAAATGTAATCTGTTGTCATCAAACTCGTTAATAGAACTACAGAGGAAAAAAATGTTGATTTTTATAATATAGGTACCTCGTGTACCTATATCTACTGACTAAAATGAGAAACCTTATCACATCGTTACACGAAATTTTTGCATCCTATATCAGTCGATTTCATAAAAAAGGAAATTGACCAAAATGATTTTCACTCAAAAATATTACAAACGTCGTTTTACATAATGAAATAAGTTTGGGCCATAATTAAATAATATTAATGAATAAATTCGTTAAATTTAAATAACATGAATAATTATTAAGAATCAAGCCTCCACAATACAGAATTCCTTTCTTTACTAATAAATGAACTGCCAAAATGACCAATATACAAGATCTTATACTGTAATAGCAAAAAACGCTGTGTTAAGCTACAGCGATCTTCATGCTTCAATATCTTATTTTAAAAATGTAATTTCTTTATCTATTATCTTTTTGTAATTTTTAAGTGTACTTAAAAACCACTTTTCGACTGCTTTCATAATACTTGTATATATATTTTAAAGAGTATTCTATGGCAATACCTATAGCTGGTACCTACTTATCGTGATTTTTGTTGAAAATAATAATATGCCTAAATCAAAATTTGAACGAGAATAAATAATCCTTATTGGTTTAAAATAAAATATAAAATAGACATAATATTTATGATAGATGTTATTTAATATTTAAAGAACTATTAGACAATAGTGAACTAATAATGGTCCATTAAACATGATTTAGTGACCCATGAATTATGATTGCAATCATTCAATATTCAATTATAGTTAACCATTAAATTGATCAATAATTGTCTTATGTAATCCGTAATTAATCTAGTGTTTATTATACTCAGACAAATTTAAGAAATTATAAATTTGTTAATATTATTTACTAAAATTTTAAATCATCACTTATAATAGTCTCTATATTTTTGAAACATGTAATTGTGGACAGTCATTCATCTAATAACACAAAGCTTAGTATACTTCAATTAAAAACTACTTGTTCAAATTACAATTTAGGTTCAATTAAATTTTCTAAATAAATATCGGCTTGCAAAAAAAAAAAAAAATACTCATTTGAAAAAAGTATATTTTGCATTCCCACTTAATTAACATAATAAGATCTAAGTACTAAGATATGGTCACATACTTAAAAAATCCAATTCTCAGAGTTTCAATATGAATACATTATTATAGATAAAAAGGGATAAGTACGCTTGGCGAAACACTATATATTCACACATAATTCATGTATGTAAAATTGTATTTAAAAAACAAGTGATTAAGAGAAATAATTTTACGACTAATAAACCAGTAATGAAAGTTATCTAAGGTGAATAAACATTAACTTTATTATGCTATATTTATTTAATACTCCTAGGACAGTAAACATTATTAATTGTATAGATATTCGCGAATTATTACCACACCGAAGGCTTTAAAAAATCGCGGGTCCTTGATAAAAAATGTATTACACTACTATTAGGAATGTTTAAAAAGTCATAAGATTATATAATAAACAACGGAATAAAAGTATTTTAAATCGCCAACCACACATTTAAACGGTGTTCTAATTGAAAAAAATCAAAGGACTGGAACATAGAAAACTTAGAAGGACTTAGAAAATGTGTGTCTTCTGAAATTTTTCAATCTCCAATATACCATACTGTTGGATGCTGCATATTCACGGTCATTTTTTTGGTTGTATGGTTTTTAAAATGATTTTTATTTGATAAGCGTGCTTCATTTTACATTTTATTCAATTAAAATAATGCAATAGTTATTTTATGTATTTATAATAAATAAACCATTGATCAACTAACAATTTTAGGTTTGCGTTTTAATAATTTCACGCATGTGCACCTCTTATTATTTAAAAATGTTCCATGGCTCCAATTTATAGCAATAATAACAGATGATTTATTGAAATAATATTAAGGCAATGAGATGTGTAATCCTTTATTATGATAAAAAAAAAAAAACCTTAACTAAATAAAATGTTTGTAAAATTGAATTTATCTTTTATTAGAACTGTTGCGTACTGAATAATTGAATCATTTTTATTGCTTTAAATATTCAACGAAAAATATACTGATCAAGACTGCAGTTGAAGAAAGCAAAACATATTTAGATGTGAGATTATGATCAAGGCTCTCATAAATTTAATAGATATTATAAAATATCAATAATTTTTACTTGAAAATAATCAATTCATAATCCCTCGTATAAAATGTATTTAATTTTTTTTTTTTTTTTTAATCAGTAATTATAATAACTCAACTAGACACCATATAGTTAGATTATAATATTAAAAAATGGGTTCAATTTAATCAACTTGTTAATAAAATTAAAATAATCTGCACCAACGTGGTCGAGCTACTAGAACTAGGACTGATTGCAACATTTATAATTTGTATTTATCAATTATTATTTGGGAATCGTAAAAAAACTGACAAATCGGGATGGTGACCTCGGGCTTATAGTTGAAGAAATAGTAGAAGAAGAAGAACAACAATAATAACGAGAATAATCAATTTATAATCGTGAATTTTTTGATATTTTCATAATTTTTTTTTCAGTTATCATAGTAATTCATTATTTTAAAGGCGGTTTTGTGGGACCATCTCTGTAGAGTAATTGTTATTATTATAAATATCATTATGAGAAGACGGAGGACGGCCATGGAGTATAATAATAATAATAATATTAAATATTGGTACATATATCTATATACACTGCAAGCAGAACCGTAAGATCGGACGAGACGGTAGGAAAATAAAATTTAAAACGCCGCCGTCGCCTGCGTTCACTTTCACTCGGACCGCGCTCGATTTCTGCTAACTGCAGCCATTCAGTTACCAGCTGGTCGCGTGCGCCTTAGCTGCTGCGGTGGTTACGACGAAAACAAAGTTGCGCTTTACAAACGGTATCGGAAATTTGCACGTGAGTACCTATATCTATTCACTTGTCACGCCGTTATCATTGTATCATTATTTAATTATTTCGTGTTTGCGATCCACAATGTATTTAATGTGTCTGATGCGTTGAGTTGACTTGAAAGTTGTTTCCCGATAAACGTTCGTCTACACTGCACACAGATTCGAATTACGGTCTATACGTCTAGCATCCGTTTCATTTGGACGAGAAATGAATCGATTGTTCGGGAGATCTAAATCATTTATATTTAATACAATGTTCAGTAAACTATTGTTATTCTCTCATTGAGCAACGCGAAACATACGATGTAGAAAATGTTGGTTCAACAGAACCAATTTTTTTATTATTAAATTTAATATTACAGTGAATTATTGAGCTATTATCAAACTTTAAGTTGAGAAAATTATTTCTGTTGTGGGTTATATTTGTAGGATTTCATGATTAATTTTAAATAAATTATAACAAATATTAGGTATATCAACACTTTACATAATTACTTCCAAGAAACATTTTTAACCATACCAATTAAAACTAACTGGATGTCCTAAACCTTTAAGAATGGGAAATATTTTGACATATTTAATATCCATAAAAATTTCAGCGAAATGGCATATTATATAAACTCCCCAAAGGTCAAAATAACATGTAGGTATATAAATTCGCCCAAACGATATTCGATTTTTAGGAATTTCACCAAAATTAAAACCATCTATTATAACTTCATTTTCGCCAATATTCGGTACTTTTATATTAGAACATCAATTCTAACTCTACAAACAACCAACGACGACATCATTTCAAATATTACATTAAAAATATCTAATTTATTAAGTATTGATCATTTTTAAATACATTTTTTTTAAGCTCTAATTTTCATAATGGTATTAAACTTTAAACTTTATAATAAGTTATACTATTTGTACTTGCCTGCGCATTATTTCCATCTAGTGTGCCATATTTTACGTTCAGAAAAATCCCTTTTACTCTGCTATTTACTTATTTTTAATATTAGAGTGTATTGATCTATAGTTTATATTCAAATTTACTATTTAGATATGTATACCATGTAGATTTTTTTTTTATATTTCATAGTTAAAACAAGATATGAGAATTTTAAAATTTTAAATACGTTATCTTATGCATTTATAAGATGGAAATGATATACGACATTTTCTTAGTGAAAACTAAATCTATATTCGATTTTATTAATTTTAAACCTAACCTTAGACTATCACCATGGTATCTTCGTGTTTCGTTCCCATGTATAGACAATAGACATAGACGTGCGCATGTGGTTTATGAATGGTATTCAGCTACATACCCTGCGAAAAAATTCTACTAATTTTAAATATTTGATTTATTTCCAAGTAATATTAGAATTGTTAATTGCAAAAAAGTTTCTAGTGTAATTAAAGAAATATAAAACACATTTTTTATACATATTTAAACTGGTTATAACTCATTAATCGCTACCCTATTACGGCTGGATAAAGTAAGTCTAGGAAGAATTACCGCAATAAAAATCATTAGGCACATCTCGCAAATAATCCTGCGCATGCCAATATTTATCCAGATTCATTTCAAAAAGCTCCAATTTGATTTTTGCAATCATTTTGTAAATTTTTTATTTGTATAGGTATATCGTTACTATTGTCTATCACATAAATGGGTAAAGAGGGAATTTTGTTAAAGGGTAAAGATAAAAGCCGATCGATCTTTTTATAAAAGAACATGTCATGTAGCTGGCGTATATAACATCAATACAATGTCACAGACAGTGTGACGTTTAAAAAATAAAATATTTACTTTTCTTTTTTAGTTAAATATATATCTATGGTTATGAACATCGTTATAAATTTTTCTTATTGTGAAATTTTTTATACAGAACTACAGAAATCTCAATCAAAAATTATGATATTGTGGCGTTCTCTTAAAAATATATCTTTTGTTCGAAATCATTAAAACGATCCTATCACGGTGTTCAATTTATCATGAAATTTTTGTAATCATATTACATTATTAGTTTATATTATAACGTCACTGATATTACTTAAAATCGTAGATATATTGAGCTTATTTTAATAAACTTACATAATATATATAAAATATATGTATTTTAATAATATAATAAAATTTATTAAAATAAATTGAAATGAATGTTGATTAACACAAAAGCTTATTTTAACTATGTCATCTGCTGTTGGGTGTTACAGTAAATTATTGATGTATTCATAATAATAATATTATGATAGCGTTACGGAATATAATATTATAATATTACTATAAATAATATACCATCTACAAAATACTATAAATAATAAAATTTCACTTGCAATGTTGAGATCACAGTGCGAGAAATACACAATAATTTTAGTCTTCTGTAAAAATGAATTTATTTTCGTGAAATTAGAAAATAACTGCAGTGCACAGAGAACAATGGATAATACGCAACTAAAGTGTAATAATGAATATGTGATTAACAGATAATATAAAAATCCTCACTTAATTTCAGCCTTGATTTTTTTTATCTTGATAAAAACTTCAACTAGTATAATAATATGTCTGTATTAGTTTAATTTTAATTTTTGCCATATGCTTACATACCTTTTTTTATACATAACGTATCTAAGTATATTATTATTTATTTTTATATATTACTTAATACTAATATTAGGCATTGTATTAATCAATTTAGCAAATTAAAAATTTTAATATATAACATACATAATATAATAATATGTTAGCTTCATTCATTTGTTTAGCTTATGGATATCATCTCAAACATAATATGTTCTATTCTACGCGTTTGAGTAATCTTCACGCTGTAATTAAAGTATATATATATATTTAGTAATTATTACATTACTTATTGTGTATAACAAATAGTGAATAAATAGCAGTTAAAAATTATTTTTTTTATCATAGATTTACTCTGTAGTTAACAGTATCTACTTACCTAAAAATATCATTCCCTCTATGTAAATCGTGTAACTATTCAAGTGTGTATAATAATATTACATACACAACTAATATAATTGAAAAACAAATTGGAGCAAAATGTATGCCAAGGTCTATATCTATATTTCTTGCAAATTTATCATTAATTTTTCGTTTATAATGTTAAATAATTTGTATCATAAAATATTAATATCAAAACTTATTGTCAGTCTGTACTAAAAAAAATATTAAATATTATAAATATATAATAATTATAATTATTATAATAAAAATTAATTATAATTATAATTATTACTTATATTATTATTTATATTATATTATATTTATTTTATATTATATATTTATTATATATTTTAAATATTATAATTGTATACACAAAAATAATATTTTTCTGCTGTAATATTGCAAATGGGTAGACATAATGTCATAAACATCTGTTTAATGTAAAAATGTTTATGAAACATAATATATTACTGCTTGCCAGATAAATATACAGATTTAAATTTATTATTTACAGAATATGATCCAAAGAACAATTATTTGTTGATAATATCATGCTAAAATTCAAAATTTAATAATTACTAATCATGTCTATTTATCTTTTTTAAATACACTATAGTTTTTAATTCAGAGTAATCAAAACGAGGATAATCGTTTCAAATAAAATTTAAAGGATATGTACGCAGTATTATCTCACTATATTATCTCACTAACAAATTCGAAACCCGAAAAATTAAATCTAACTATTTTTGTGATTGTTTTCTATTACTAAGTGTTTACCCAAAATGCACGTCATCCTACTCGCTAGAGCTTTTACGACACTCCACATTTCCTATCACTATACAGAACTCGAAGGTCGACGGTTGTGGTCATTTTGTCGAACTACACAATATTATTATCACGTCTCGAACACTTCCCCCCCGCGACTCTAATTAAGCGTTGCATTATTTACAAGGTCGTCGGGACTTTAAACACCCGTTGGAAAATACCATGCACGCGTAATGTCACTATCTTTTTTTGCGATTGAACTGTATAATATATTATGTTTGATGGTCCAGTAAAATTAGCCAAGTAGGTACGTACCGACCAGGCGTGCATCTATTTTGTGTGATATTTTTACGCATTGCTATTATTGCCGAATGACACGTAGAGAACGCGTACGTAGACGGATCGACTCGGCGGGACTGATTTTCACCGTCCACTAACGGCGAATCGACAACATTTTTCAGCGATCATCTCGAAATCGTAATGAAGAAACGTTATAACGTAAAATTACTGCAACCTTGACCCGGTTATACCTATATGTGTATCTGGAGTTACATCACTGCATCGGGCCGCTTACCGCGGTATACCATCGGCTAATACCGGTTGGACAGTGGGACAATCGAACGCGGCCACGGTGTATGACGTGTGTGTGTGTGTGTGTGTGTTTATTACTGCATGTCAATATCGGTGCCTACCTATAGTATACGCGTGGCGCCTGACGATCGAGGGTTACAATTTTATATTAGACTTTCCAAAAACATACGAATTTGTCGCGACGAAAAGACTTCGACTACCTTGAACCCGACACTTATAAAATATTTACAACACATTAAACAATATTACGACGTCGTTTATTTTGTCAAATGCTTCCATGCATATGCATATCGTACGTGTGTATTCATATTATAATATAATTGCGATTTATTGTAAAGGTTGTGGATAAACTGTGCACACATTGCACGAGTGATTAGTTCTCAACGAGTGCATTGATATAATCTAAAAATGGTTTGTACCGTCGACTCAAAAACGTTTCGAAAACGTGTTATGCACACAATAGTAATACGATTTGAACTACGATTGGCCGGCTGGTCTACTGCCGGTTTACGATCTCAAATATATTTTATGTACTGAAAGTTTTGTCTTTTGACATTTTTAAAAATTAATAGAAAATGTCATTGATACGAATTAGTTCACTGTAATATTGTATTTACAATGTTACGAAACACGATCAGCAACTGAGCTTATTCCTAAATTTATTTAGCCAACATTCAACAGTAATATTTTTCTATTATTCTATATTTATTATACGTGCGCTTGAAAAGGTAGACACGTTTCACTGTCCTAGGTACCTACAATACAAGTATATTAATTTACATTATTAAAAAAATTGTATGTCGATTAAATCTTTTTGCCACCTGAATTTTAAATAACATTTTTTAATGATTCGTATGAGCTTTCTAAAAATACGACCTCGGTAATTAACGTTTTTTTATGTATCTATTGGAATTGGGTAAATTGTTGTCATACGTCTAAAAAAAAAATTATAACTGTCGACAAATATTGATACACAATGTCCCTATGTATAGTACAGAGTAAAATATAACATTTTATTAACCACGCAAATACTATATACCTATCATTTTGTAAATAATTTTTATTCGCGTATCAATTAATAACAAAATCATTAATATTAAGTCGTCGTTTTATATTTTCCAGAATGATCTGACACCAAGCATGAACATGAAAGAGCCATGGCTGGCTATACAACCAAGAGTTACCTAACATTACTATACCTGTTCACGTTCATCGCAATCGGTACGTGCACGCGGTCGTTTGGGTCGACTGCGGAGTTAATATTTTTATCATACATATAAATATATTATGATATATTACTAATTAGATTATTAAATATTATAATGATATATTGTTTTATAAGATTTAGTCTATGCGATTTCTTTAAGTGTACCTACAGTAATTAATACTGGTTATGTATGACTATTAACTATTATGTCTTAACGAGTGTTTGATAAAATTTAATTTAAACCAATAAGATAGAGAGAAGGTGGTCTCAAAAATAAAAATAAACAAAGTTCATCACATTTTTAATGTTCAAAAAACAATGTTAACAATTAAAAAATGGTTACCTAGTCGTTTACACTGTTAACATTTTGGACAATTAATTTTGACTTCGGTAGATGTATTCATTACGAATCGCCATTGATGAATATGTATGACGTCATCGAGCTTTCGATTCGTAAGAGAATATATTCTAAGCCTTGGATTGCTGTTGATCGTTGAACATAAGCGTGCACACTATAAAGACAGGGTGGGCAGCTGCCCCTCTTGTGGGCTAAATTTTTTTTCTTAAAATATAGCATACAAATTGCAATCTTGTATAATCTTGAATCATGACTGCGATATTAATAAATTATCTTTAAAAATACAATAATAATTGAACAAAAATTCTGCCTTTATTTACACATATTTCTACGCCTATTCAGTTGAGCGAACTAATAATGATTCATAGTATTGCCAATACGATAAATAAAAAGACCTATAAATGCACTTACATATAAAATAATAATAATAATAATAGTGCATAAATAATTCAAATAAAAAGTAAATTTGTGTGTATGTGTTAAAAACAAAAGAATTAAAATACTAATAGTTTTTTTTTATTAATGATTTAAACTAAAAAAAAAATAGTTAAAATTATTGGAGTTTATATGATAAGTATTTGGTTTCACTTGCCTACCTACTTTAACGTGTTTCATGTTAAATTTCGCAAACAAAAAACCAAAATATATTGATAATATACTAATGTAACAAAAATCTAATGCTTTTAAAATAAAATAGTTAGAAATTTGCAAATACATATTAAATGCAACATAAAAATTTACCTTTGTATTGTAAATGTTACAAAATATATTTCTACACTACAAATTTTACTATAAAAGAAGACAATGTGCAAATGCATTTAACCATTCGCCCTAAATGAACATAGTTACGTAACTTAACGTATGTACATTTTAGGTGAAATATTGTGTCAGGGTAGAGATGCCACTGTAGCAAGACAACAGACTTCATTGCCAAGAGCGCGCGCCATACCTGTAGCAACTGTCAACGGAGGCCCGGCGGAAAACGCCATTAACCGCCCGTCCAAAAAGCAGCAGCAGGAAGCCATTTCCAAACAAACCACGCCGACTCCACCGGTCTCTATCAAAGAGCTCTTCAACTCTTCGTCGTGTGTCGAACCTCCGTTCACGTGCCCTCATCCGAGAATCCAGTTTTACTTGTACACCAGGTAATTCACCTATCAATATAATCATAATAATAATAAAGATTATAACAATGAAGAACTGATAAAATGTGTCGGGAAAATAAAATTAAAAACTATTGATGGGAACAAAAGTTATATAACATAAAGAGTTAATAATTATATGTTAAATTAGTTCTTTCTTACTGTGTACATGCATTAATTTTATATCCAAACCTGACAGACGACGGTTTTTTCTTTCAATATTTTGAATTTTTAATACAACATATTTACGGAAATACGGAGCTGTCTTAAAATGGTCTCGTTAGCTTTTGTAACCATTACGATTATAATAATTAAGTTATTTATGTATGCTTAAATAAATCTTTCTAATAACTGTTAAAAAAAAAAAGAAAAAACTATAGATAAATAACTACTTGTATGTACTATATAATAATATGTAGTGATCGGATTTATATGCAAACACATATAATATTATGTATTAGAATAAGATTTTTCAAATCTGATGAGAATTTATTGTCCTTGATTTAAACTTTTCTTGTTAAAATAACACTAATTGTATTTTGAATATTTTACATATTTCAACGGTTTTACTTATTAAATGCATAATTAATGCATATTTGTAGTTTAATAGTGCATATTAATATTTATAGCACGTATATTTGCTTTTCTCGTCGTATTTTCACGTTTACAGCCATATAATATCGATAAAATTATGATTGGTTGTTATTATCAAAGATAAGATGACATACTCCTTTGCAATATGTATGTATACTATATTAATATAGATCAATTTTTGTTTTCACTTTTTATTCATATGGACTAATATTTTATTGATGGAACACAAAGAATGTTAAATAATAAATATGAAAAACTACTTATTCATACTCTTAAAACTTTTTTTAATACTTCATTATTTAATACTTATTTTTTATATAATTTTAAATAAAATATTTTCGATTCAATTTTTAGTACATATTTTGTAGCATATTAAAACATTTTTAGAAGCATACCTTGAAGATTTTTTTGTGTATTTAAATCCGGTCTCTAAATTAATATATAATAAATCCATTCAAATTTTATTCTTAAGGTAATTTGTCATAAGTTAAATTTATAATGTCAGCTTCATTCAAAAAATAATAGCTTTTTTATAACATTTAAAACCTAAACTCATAAATATAAGAATCCAAGGAAGAAAATTTTACACATGATATGGTAAAATAACACTAAGTTGAATTCATAGTAAAATTCTTAAATTTCTAATTAACTTTTTAGATTTAAAATTATACTTAAAATGAAATGCATAATTGTTTATTTCATCCTCTTAAATATTTTTTTATTCATTGATTATTATTTTATTTGTTATCATGATTTATTCCCTTGAAATTACAAAAATACATTAATATATCGTTTAATTAATTAATAATCTCCCCTCAATATTGATTAGTTTTCATTGACAGATTAAACTCGAAAAATACATTGATCATGACGTCTATTTATCAGTAAATTATTTTTAATAAATCATCTCATTTACCTTCATGAAATATTCAAAACATGTTTTATTTATGGTCGTACATCATACTTTATCATGGAGGAAATTAGTTGCACCCATCTTATACATCATATATACCTCTCATTTCACGTATTTCCTTTATAATCATTTAAATTCTCGAAACACCAAATATGTATAACTTGGGTTTCATTATGGTCGTCGTGCGATGATGACTGCATTATATATAACGTAGGACGTAGATATTACAGTAACTATACTTTCTCTCGTTTTGTGGCTTTCGTTTACGCCGAAATAACCATAAATATTAACCACTCGTTATTTTAGGCTCACGCAGACTAATCCCGACTTGTTGGATGTGACCGACCCGGAATCATTGTATAAATCACATTTCAACCCTAAACATCCGGTTAAAATTATCATACACGGCTTCCAAGGTGGCCGAAACTTGTCACCGAGTACAGATCTCCGAGACGGTAAGTACAGTGCAAACATTTTAAATTATAAATAAATTGTCCGACAATAAAATATACATACAATTAACAATTTACATCCGTTGAATTTGTCAATACTTAAAAATTGAGATATTATGCTAAAAATTAAATTGTAAACAATTCGACTAAGAATACGAAAACTAGTTAGTGAAATTAATCATAATATTTTACTTAATTCGTTTTGTTTTAACGATTAATGAACTGTATTAACTATATTATAAAATTCAATGAATGTATTTATTTATTGGAATATATGAACTTTAAACTAAGATAATATACAGAATAATTATTCACCTAGATTATTTCCCTCGTGTTTTTCATTGGTAATTAACTTGTTAACATTTTTATTTTTTAAATTTCTAAGCATACTTAAGAATCATATTTTAAAATATTTATATTTATATGCTAATCAAGGATTGACTTGCGTATTAATACAAACGTGTTTTTTCAAATTAAAATCTACATTTCTTTACTGTATATTGTTAATTAAATTATTATTTTTTAAACTGTTGATGAACATAAATGGAAATTCGAGTGTTGATTATTAAACTTTATATACTTACTACCAAAACATTCCAGAATAATTAATTTAAACGTATAATAATGGTTATGAACTTTTGAAAACGATTATAATTCATATATCAACAAATAAGCAATATTGTAAAAATTGTTTAAACATAATAATTAATACTAGAATGAATATTACGCCTATTTTATACTTGAAGTAAAACCATTATTATAGATTATTTTCCTTAATTTAATAATTAACTGAAAACCAATCTAACTATTTTAACTAAATACATTCATATTTTCGAAAAAACCAGGTGCTTAACAATTTACAGTAAAAAAATGGTAGTTCTCATTTGAACAATTTTTCTTTATCACATCACAAAAATCAGAAAATTAATATATTAAACATTTTATTAAATTACAAAAGGAGGATAAGCCTATGCTTCATGAGTCACGCCGTAAAATCCTTGCACATTTTAATGATATGTAAATTACAAAGTATTTTTGTCTTGCAACACTGGCGCTCGTCATATATCTTATTATTTTTTTTTAACATTTTAATGTTTAAACGTGTTACAGCTTATTTTAATCGGGGAAACTACAATATAATTATAGTGGACTATTCAAGTTTAGCTCAAATACCTTGTCTGAATCAAGTAGAATGGGCACCCAGATTCTGTGGCATGTGCATTGCTCAACTAGCCAACTACTTAGCCGACCATCCTCGAGGAGTTCCACCAGACAAGCTGCACATGATGGGGTAACGTTCGCCATAACTTATATTATCATACAATATGCATTGTCAACCGAATTTTACTGTTTTTTTTTTTGTACTTGTCACTACTATACGTGGAAAAACAATGTGAATTTAGGGCAATCGGTCCCCGCGAATAAACTCCGTATGCGAACAATTATTTACCCCATTCTAATTTTATAACTTATCAAAATTCGTATTTTATGTTGTCCTGTTTAAAAATTTATCTCAAATATGAGGTTAGATATACTTTGATTATTGATGGCACTATATGATAAATGTGATAAATTAATTTACATTTTTTGATTATGCATTATTTGGCAAAAAAAATTTTTTTAAATAAGTATGTGACATGGAAAAAAATTGGCTGGCGACCAGTTGTCCATGTAAATATATATACTATGTTTTTTCGTAGAAACTAATTGTAGGTTTACCGAACACGGCAATAGCCTTGCGCCCTGTATCAGTGACAATTTTACGGAGAGAGGAAATCAGTGAGTCAACCCCCCTCCCTTGGGTAATGTACAAATACATTGAATACGTTAACTCTAATACCTAGTTATCATGGCCATCCGCAAAACATAAAACCTTTATTATTATAAATAAAATTTATTGCGTTTACTCGTATATAATATAATATAGAAGTATAAAATATGTAATATAGGTAACACGTAATAAAATCATACTTATCGTGTATATATCAATAGAAAAATATAAATGAAATGTGTATGTGTATGTATTTTTACCCAACTTGGGATTTATCTATTGCCGACCTATTGGTCTATATATTTTATTTGTCGCTCAAACAAATATAATTATTGGAGTATGAAAATTTGCTTTTATTTAAAAGGAGAAAAAGTCGAACTGTTCAATTTTACTAAAAATATAATTTATAACTGAATTATAAGTATATTATTAGTTTATTTCATACTGTACTGCCTGCACTATAGTTTATAATTTTCATATGAATATGATTATACTTAGGAGTAATAATATTCCTAAATACATGTACATATGATACTTATTATTTCTAAAATTCTATATGTTTTTTTAAATATACTCTTTACACAATTTTAAGTCATTAAAAACAACACCTTTTTTAAAATAAAAAATGTTTGTTATATTATTATAATTTTTGAATTTTTTACTTATTTGAATAACAAATGACAATCTAAGTAAGTACATTTTTAATTTATATTTCAATGAATAATATTTTTTTGAGTACTTCAAAAATTAAATATTGAAAGAATAGATAAGTTATAAATTCATAAAAATATTTAATATTTGCGGAAAAGTGGCTCGTCATAATTTAAAAGCTATCATAACTAATTAACTATTCGTTAAAAAATCCAAAAAATATTCAGCAGTATGGAAATATAAATTTAAGAAAAAAAATTAATTGATCATAACGATAAAAAAGTGAGAATAAAAGTTTTTTTCAAAACCGTCATTTTTAATAACTGCAAATCATGTAGTTTAACTTAAAAATTATAATCAGTATGAAAACGCATCAATTTTCTAGCCGCTACGGCAATCACAATAAATAATAATAATCAACAAAATTTCTTGTCGAGCCATATTTTGAAACCATACATTAATCCCTGCACAATATTCTTTTGATTATTCAAACGCTGTTGAAAGCCATTTCTAAATTAGATAAAATTCTCAAACTTCAAAATGCTTGCAAGCGTACAATATTACAGCAGAAATAAACATTTAAGAGATTCCTATTGATTTAATAGGTGGCAAGTTAGTTGATAATATTATTCGTACAAAGCTTTTTTTCAGGTACCTATATTTTTAATTTTATTTTTTGCGCTTATTTACGATGTGCTATGCAGTGATTTGTTTCGAAATGAACAATTATTACTATTTTTATTACACATTTATTTTATCTTATTTGAAAACAGGTTTTATATTAAGAATCTCAGTCGAATTAATTTTAAAGTACCTATGTGTTATTGATAGAAACTCGACCTTTCTCTGGATTCAGTTGTAGTAGTAGTAACTATAAAACATTATTATATTGCATTCAATACACAACTATCGTCTATCGTTATGGTGTATTATATATTCATAATATAATTACAGTAAAAATATTTCATAGGATGACGCATGTTGTAAATAAATTTAATTGTAATCTTAAAAATTCAAGAATTTCATGAATAATGAATACAGAATGAATCAGAGATTATAATCAACAATCAAAATTATATAATTTTTTTAGGGGGTCCAATCAAAATATTTGTTTCTACTACACTTTTATTATTATTAATATACATCTAAATATCAAAATATATTATGATAATATACCACATCATTGAAAATTATTACTTATTGCTTAATTAGAGAGTAAAATAAAGAAAAAAGTTAAATTAAAAATTTTAATTAATCGTGTGGGAGGTTGATTGTTTTGAAGGTAAATACTTATTTCTTAAAAAGTTTAAAAGTTTTGAAAATATTCTTTTCTGCAAATAGTTATTAATTTAAAATCATTACAAATATATACATATATATATATATAGTATATAATATTAAAAATAATATTTATTTTATATTAAATTTGATTTTTTTAATTTTCAATATAGCATAATTTACCTACTACAAAAGAATAGTATATAATTATTTATAAGTACCTAATATTTGAAAAGCAGAATTAGTAATGGACCAACATTGTATTGTGTAAATATATATATATATATATAACATAAACATTTTATAGTATACGTAGATACTTATACATATAAGTATAATGTTTCTTCAAACAATATTGTTGTTTTGTAATAACTTAAAATAATGTAAAAAAAATATTTCCAAAAACATTCATGATTTTCAAAATAATTTATGTTTAGAACTAAAATGTTCACGAGACTATATAAATAAAAACCCCGACATTTAAAACATTAATAAGTTAGTATATTTGACACGACGTTTAAAATGATGATAAATGATAAAATTTGCAACGATGCCTGAAAGAAACGCATATTATGTAATGATTATTATCATTATCGTGTCATATCATATTATAAAATTATATAAAATATTTAAATATTTTCATACCATATATTATATTATGCACCGTAGGTACAGCGTGGGAGCTCACATCGCAGGCTTAGCGTCCAATTTTATCAATTCGGGAAAAATTGGCCGAATCACCGGTTTGGATCCAACGATCATATTCTACATGAGTAACAATCGATCCAGGGATCTCGATCCCACAGACGCACATTTTGTGGATATCATACACACGGCGGCAGGCATCTTAGGCCAGTGGGGCCCTAGCGGACACGCCGATTTCTATGTAAACGGCGGTACTTCGCAGCCCGGTTGCGCCAGCGATAGCATCATACGTGAGTACAAATAATATCACTTGTATTAGAACTTTGAAACCACAACAAGTTCATCAAAAATATAATGGGTCTTAGTCTCTATCTTATTAAGTAATTGAATATTTATATTTAAATACTGTTAAAACACTTTTCCATCATACATTTTTGGAATTATACTAATTTTTTTTTTTTGTTTCACCATAGTATTCTAACTACCAATAATTTCATACTTAACTATTTAAATTTTATTTCTAAAATAATACCTATCTAATTTATAATATTTCTAAGGATTTATAACGAGATTTTATCAAATAAGCTAAATAGATTGGCTCCAAATCTAAAAAATTTGAATTAATTTTAATGTATATACGTGGTTATTAACTACCCGGTTTAATTATTTATAAAATATTTAAGTTAAGGTATCTATTTGTAATTAATGTATCAAATTTATTGATTTAAAAAAAAAATAAGTATTTATAAAGTATTTTGAAAACTTAAAAAGTATTCATGTTAATACTCAATTACTATTGAAAGAAAGTGGTTAAATGCGTACTTCAAATACAAATGATACCAAGTATTTAAACATATATTCTGAATACATTTAAAAAGCATTTTTTAATACTACTGGACCTGTTGTAAGAATATACAAGGTTTATTCAAATTAAGTTTTCTCTTAGTTATCTTACATAGTTGAAATTGCCCATTACACACGGTGATTCTCCGAGCACTTTCATCCTCATTTTTCCCTTTAGTAATGTATTTATTCAAATTCTTGAAATTGTTTATGCTACAATCATCTTCTATTTTTCAATTAAGAACTCTCCTCTCCCATATTTTATTATAAATTATTTAATGTATAATTTGTTTTCAAAATTTTGATGTACCTAATTCAAAATATCAATAAGTTATTTCTCAGTCATTACAATGTTAAATTAATTAAGTCACTTATATTTAATTAAACTTCCATTTAGCCTTGATAATATGTTTTTCTCGTTACCGATTAATTAGAAATAAATATTTGACCGTTTACTATAAAACACATGTGATTTATATATAAGTATTCCAATATTTTGAATAATATAACGACTATATAACCGGAACATTTATATAAAATGATATCGTGTTCTTATATTTATGTTATATTATGTATGCACAAATGTTACAAACGTCCTTTAGAGAAGTCATCTGAAAATGTTGAACTCGAATAAAAGTAATTTTTTCTATAATTTTAGTTATATACATTGAACACGCCTCAACTTGTAAGATTAGCCCTTGACTATATTAGCCATACTGCAATTAAATAAATAATAAATAAATTTGCCCAGCATTGTCAAAATAGACACAATTCAGCAATAATTTATTATTGATTGTTGTCGTCCTTCTCCGACATTTCCGCTATGCATAATAATCAACTAAATACTTGTCCAACATAATATAGCCATTACCATACTATTAATTTTAATAATTTTAACTCAACAAATCGGTATTAACTAATAATCGAATAATTCACGCGGATGTTAAAAATTAATTTTATAATCACTTAAATAAAACCAATTGATACAGTTTTAATATGAAGTGAAATTCAATATAACATAACATACCTACTACTTGAAATTTATCTAATCGAGTAAAAAATAACCTTATAATTTCTATTATAAATGTATAACCATTAAACATAATATCTATTTATTACCATACACGTTTACTTCCTGTTTATGATTTAAGTAAAAATATTTATTAATAATTTTTAAATAACACAGTTTAACGACTATAATTCATAATAATAACATTAATAACTAATAAATTATATGAAATGTTTAATTGAATTGTTAATAATTAAAATAATCATTAAATCGTTATATTTATACTTACTGCGATGTATAAATACTAAGTACTATAGTATAATGTACTATTAATACATATTATACTTTTTTTAAAATAAAATGAAACTTATTTTTTTATGTTATAATGTATTTTTTGTACTGATTACCTATAACAAGTTGTGCATTTTATAGAGACGCTATCGTGCGATCACACTAAAGTTACGCCGTATTTCATCGAATCGATCAATTCCAACACCGGATTCTGGTCAATACCGTGTGCTAACCGGTTTTATTTCAATTTGGGCCTTTGCAATCCACCGGAGTCCGAGTACGTTTTGATGGGCGAACACGTGACACACAAGTTAGTGGATTTTAAAATAAATATTTAACATAAAACACTTGCGTTTTCTCAAAATTATAATAATGCTTTTGAATATATTTTTTTAAATATATTAGCTTGTAAACCGCTATACAAAACTACAATTTTGAAATAAACATTTTTAATTTCTATTTTTACCGTTATCAATTTTATTTATTTTTTTATTTTTTTAAAATAACATACATTTTTAATGTCATACGTATTCTAAAGCAAAATATTTCTCTGGGAATTTCGATTGAGTACCTAATTAATTAATTATATAGACATAAATTCATAATGGTCCTTTACTTTACTCGATAGAGTACTTATAATTTATAAGTATTCCTACTTAAGTTACAATTTATAAATGTATAACTAATTATATAGTTACTCATTTAAAATTCTCAGAAAAGTGTTTTACTTTGGAATGTGAAATTGAAGATAATATAATTATTGATGTCATTCAAAAACCTTGATACAATGATAATTAACAAAAATAGCAAGAAATACCTAAAATTTATTTTCAAAAATGTTATACAAGAAAAATATTTCCAATAACATTAATACTTATAAACTTTTTAAAATGAGAATTTACCTTCAAAATAATTACCTTTTGTACGAAATTAGGTATATATGTATACCTACATAATACATTCAAACAGTTAAACGTCACAGCGAATGACCAATTTTTATTTTTACAACCATATTCTTTAATACGATTATTTTGATTTAACATATTTTCAATATTAATGTTCTCCCTTCTTTGTTCACAGAGCCCGTGGTATTTATTACTTGAACACAAACGCGAAAAAACCTTACGCCAGAGGCTTCCCCAAAAAGTGATCGTCGCCAAACGAACCGCAGCCCCCAATCTATTATACACATACGAACGAACGAAGGCCTAGTCAAATAATATTTTATTATTATTGTTTTTGCAATACGCACTGATACAATCATCGGATCCCTTTATTGATAATTGTATTGTATTGCGCGTGTGCGAATAACCTAATGAGTAATGTGTATGCTTTCGTATAGTTTTTACGCGGACGGTGAATGTTTCAAGTTTCTTGTGATCATAGATAATTTTGTAAATAATTGTCGGTGTATAAAATAGACGAATTATTACAGTATAGTCATCTATAGTTGTAGTAAAACGTATTCGTTACAATGTATTTTTCGATCGTGTAGATGTGGTATTTGCGTTTACCTTAATAAAATTATAATGAAAACGCTATATACCATATACGTATGTATGTTAGGAACAACACGTCATCCAAACAATAAATTGTAAAAAAAAATGCCAATTTAATTTAGAATAATATTAGTAAAAATTAGTTTTGTGGTAATTAAAATATGAAAATTATTATAAAATGTATAGTTTCAAAAATATATTGTATCACAGTAGTGTGAAATTACCTATAATGACATCACAATTCACAATCATATTGTATTTTATTGCCATATAATATTATTATTACAATTATTATTGAAAATAAAATGTTTATTGTAGCCAAGTTGTAAATTAAAACCATTTTTGTTTTATCCACACTTAATAAGTAATATTAATATGTCTGAATTCTTGTGTTTATATTGTGTTATCAATAATCGCACATAAATATTTTATCGTTAAACTTAGTAGTTAGATACTTGACTATCAAATACTAGAACACTCTGAACCAAAAATAATGTTTATAGAATTATATTTATAAAACTATCATTCATAGTGACCCCATAAATATTTTATCAAATAAATAACGAAAAATTAGTAAGTCAGGAAGTTTAAAATTTGCTTTTAGAATGTGTATTTATTTAATAAAACCAAAATTTTATTCTTACAGATTAATGTTGACATTATCATGTAAAATTTTTAATATTTTTCACAAATCCATAAGTGGTGTAAATATTCTACGAAAATCAAAAAATCCAAGAGTCGGTTTTTTTCTGACTTATTCAATTTTATACTTATACGTATAATATTTGTATTAATAATTCAAGTAAAGTTATTTATTTTTATTTTACACATATTATAATACCATGGTTACGAGTCCAAATTCTAGAATTACCAGTTTAGGGTAATAACTACTAACTAGTAACGTTACGTAGTTATTTTTCGAGGAATGTTAAGGTAGCTTTGTTATTTATTTATTGAAGTAATATAAGACTACAAGAGTACCTAGGTTACTAAATCTTAATTAATTTATAAAGACTTAGTACAATAATAATTTAATTTTTATAAATTATTTAACAAAAAAAAAAAATTAATGAATGTTTTTCATTTAATTGTACATTATTTCAAGAATATCAAATATTAATTTTCATGCGATATTTTGTTTATCGCACGTGATAGTTTCTATCGAAGATAAAGCGTCAACACGAGATCAAAAAAATTGTATAAATGCGTGTAAAAATTAATATTGGTGCAAATGATTTTTTTATTTTTATATTTATGTCTATGTAGTGGTCGAAGTTAGGGAGAGATATAATGGGATAGCTTCCCTTCACTTCTTATAATTCATATTTTCTCATCCCTCCATTTATTTTGTCCAAAATAATGCATATCTACTAGCAATCGTATTATAATTTATAAAGTTTTTTTTTTTTTTATTATTATAAAAGCCGCTAGTATAAACTATGATAGCTTGACAATTACATAAATTTATAAAGTTATAAATATATAATATATCTAATGATTGAATACTGCAGAGAGAAAGAGAGAGAGAGAGAGAGAGAGGGAAATATGTAATATAAACACTACATAAACTATTATTAGAGCCAGAAGAAGTATCCGAACTACACGTCTTTTTTACCCGGAATCGTAAAATCACAGAATTCTAGTACTAGTCCATTTCAGTAACCCGAATAAATAAAATAATTATGAAGTATAGTACTACACGCAGATTAACCCCCTCCCCTCGTCACACAGAAATTTTAACGAATTTAATACGTAACCAACTAATAATTATGCAGTACGGATTTATTGTTTAGGTAGCACAAATTGTAAGTTCGGATTATTTTGTTGATACTGAGTACTGACTATGTACCTAGTGTTGTTTTGTTATTGTAAACATACCTACCAAATAAGTTATTTTCGTCTCCAATCTGTTTAATTAATTATATTTATATACATATAATATTATATCCTATAGGTAGATATAAATAGTCATTTTACATTTATAACGACAACATATTATTCATAACTATTGACTGCGTATTTACTATTTTTGATTTATTTATTAGTGTTTACTGTTTAGTCTATAGTAGACATCGTACTCGCGTGTATGATAATATGGTCTGCAGATTTTCCAATAATTCATTAGTTCATCACTCAATGTCTTCTGGGATACGCTGAAACACTCCGCACGTTGGACATTATTGCGTATTAACATTCGATGTGTTATCGGTAAATACCTATCATTTAGTATTTAAATTGTGTTATGAATTTTATTGAATTAATAATTCTCAACATTTAATGGAAAAATACTGTAATAATATCTCTACTCTCTAGTTAAATCAGTTTGAAAATCATAACCTACCGTCATTCATTTGAAGTAAACTACCAATAGGTAAGAAAATACGTCTATATTGAACTTGATATTATTTTATTTGTTGAGATATCGCCATCTTTAAAAATTATTATGAAAGTGATGTAACCTATCATCTAGTACAAAAAAAATTCTTAGGAAACAATCGAATATAATTTTATTGTGAATACAAAACGATAATGATAATAATAATAATTATATACTTAAATATTTTAAAAACAGTTGATATTATAACTCGTAAGTTAGGTATAAGCTATAAAAAATAGGTATGTTTTTATTATGATATAATAATAGCCTTACACTTTTTTAAACCTCAACCAATCAAAAATTATCTTAAAAACTAGGTAAGTTAAATACGAATGCTTATATAAGGGATGTTATTGATGTTATTCATAATAATTATAATTATTAGTATATATTATATTATATATAATATATAAACAGATCATGTACCCGTATTATTTCTATTATTAGACTTGTACTCATATTTTTGTGTTGTGTTTGACTTTTAACCAATAGTTTTAAATCTGATAAGTGATTAGTGATAACTATAAGAAATGAAACTAACTAGAATAACAAGTTCAAAATTCTTGTGGACTACCAAATCCTGTACAACCCAGTAAGATGTATTCCTAGTAAATTTGAGACTGAAATGAAAATTCCATACGTACAGTATTCTTAAACAATTTATTATGTATGAAATTTATTTTATTGGTCCTCAATCCTTACAGACTTAAATTTAATAATCACACAATCAATAAATGTAAAAAATCTACTTACTTTAAAAGGTGTATGCAAAAAAAAAAAGATGAATGCTTTAAAAAATTCTTCATGTAATACTGATCAAAATCAATTTTTGAAACCTGACATATGTGAATCAAAAAGTTATAGAAATTTCTCTCATATGATCAAAGTATTTGAAGTCCTACAGTTATTACGCGAGTATGTTTTAAGAGATATTAAATGCCTGTAAAATAAATATTTGTAGCAAGTTTTTGTTTTAGAGATGAAGTTTTTTGCGATATAAAGTTACAAGCAGATGATGGCACTGTACTAAATGGACATAAAGTTGTATTAGTATCTGTAAGCCCATATTTTCGAGCAATGTTCACTTGTTTTAGTGAAAGTAACAAAAATGTTGTTAATATAAGAAATCTAGATTCTACTGCTTTACAGCTGTTATTGGATTATATTTATACTGGTGAAATCATAATAAACCTAGAAAATGTTCAGGTATAATAACAATTATATTTGTTAATTATTATATGTTGTTTATTAGTTTTAACTAATTACTTACCTAAATGCATTTTTGTTGATTTCTCAAGGTTTTGTTACCGGCTTCAAATCTTTTACAGTTAGAGTTTGTAAGAGGTGCATGTATTGAATTCTTACAAAAACAACTAAATCCTTCAAATTGTCTTGGTATCAGAGCATTTGCTGACTTTTATAACTGTGCAGAATTGTTGTCAAGTTCTGAAGCATATATTAAAAAACAGTTTGTGTAAGATCTATTTGATTTAATTTTTTTATCATGTCAGTAAAATATATAAATGTATTATGATAATTATTGGCAGAAAAGTGATTGAAGGTGATGAGTTTTTATCTTTATCTTCTGAAGAACTGATTTATCTAATTTCGAGTAATGACCTTAATGTTGCATTTGAAGAAAAAGTAAGTTATCTAGTGTTCATATGTGTATGTAGTTTTGTATTGTGCTAAACTGAAGATAAATTTACTTATACATAACATTTATAAAATAATCCTATACATTGGCTTTTTTAAGAAAGTGTATATTTGAATTACATGTTTCATAAATAAATTAAAATATGGTTGTTCTGTGTCTAAGTAAGTTCAAAACCTAAATAATTATTTTAATATGAATAATAAATTAATGATAAATAGTTAAGTAGGTATAAGAATTAAATGGTTGTAAAAAGTTTTATCTTAGCCATATAAGATTATTTTAATCTATAAATATTGAACCTCTATCAACTTTATAATATAATATATTGTGTTTAATATTTATTTATCTTAAAAAAAAAATGAAATCAATTATTGTCCATATCAACAAAATTATAAATAACAAAGCTATCTATACAATATTTTTATTTTAAGTTTATTAATAATAGAATGTTATTAAATTATAAAAATATATCTCTTGCCTTACTAGGTATATGAAAAGTAATAAATGGTATTATGAGGAAGTTAAACCCTTATGTGTAGTCTGCATCATTTAAACCTAAAATATAACAATTCTGTAAAACCAAAGTTGTATGTAGTTACCTTTAAGTCTTAATATAAATTATATATTATATTAAAATGTTTAAATGTTTATTAAAGCTGACAACAGATATTAAAGGCTTTGTGTTCTCCATAGATAAAACAGCGAGTGAATTAAATCATTCTTGGTCTTTATTATTTTCAGTGAATTTTTCAACTTATTGAAAGACATTTGTTTCTTTTTAAATTCATTCTAGAAGCTAGGTCCATAAACTTCATCATTCTCATCAAAAATGTTTAAGATCCATCACATCCAATATAATTGTCACATACACCATAATTTTTAGGTAATTAATGGTTAATCCACAACTTAAATATTAAAATGACTATATATATATATTATAAAATAAGTATATCAAAATTTCAAAAATTACAAATTCACTTCTATGAGTTCTTGTTGGGCCTTTTAAAAATATGTACAATTTTTGAATTGATAGTGTAACAAATGTATGAATTTAAGTAAACAAAATTTAAATCATTAGTAATCTTACATTATTACTTTTTGTTTTATTTAAATTTGATTGTATTTATTTGTTGTAGGTATATGAATGTGTAATTAATTGGGTAAAACATGAATTAGGTTGCAGGTATGATAGTTTACCTAGATTAATTAAACATGTACGTTTACCATTAGTATCCTTAGAATACATAACAAAAAAAGTTGTTGAGGAACCTCTTTTTAAAAATATTCCTAAATGTATGTATTTCTTTAATATTCATTTTTTTAAATTTAATTTCACTATAAAATCGTAATATTTTTAGGTAAAGATTATATTAATGAAGCTTTAAACTTTCATAAACTTAAGACACAACAGATTATTATTATTCCACAAACAATTCATTGTACACCTAGACTTTCTGGATATAAAGTATGATTTTGTTTTAATTATTTTATTTTTGCAATTATTTTATCCATTTAATTCCACTAGGTTATTCTTATGTTTAATTTATCTCAAAAAACAATGAAGTGTAATACAAACTGGTATGACCCTGCAACCAACTTATTGCAAATTGCAGTTGGAGTGGGTGAATGTAACAGACCATCTGGTCTAGCAATAGTGACAAGTCAATTTGTGTTTTCTTTGGGTAGTTTTTATATGTCAAATTCTCGGTCTGTTGAAATGTTTGATTTATTCTCATATTCACCCTGTTGGGTGCAAATGGCTAACATGTTAGTTTGTCGATATAATTTAGGAGTTGGTGTTTTAGACAATTGTATATATGCTGTAAGTATTGCTTGGATACTACTTATTTCTTATTAAATTTTTTATATAAAATTATATATTATATTAATTGCTAGATTGGTGGATCTAATGGTACAGGTAGTTTAAATAGTGCCGAAGTTTTTGATGTTAATATTAAAAAATGGCGAATGATATCTAATATGTCTACCAAGAGAAGTACTTTTAGTGTTGGAGTACTCGATAATTTAATATATGCAGTAAATAAACATTTTTATTACTTGTATATTTATTTTAAATTTATAATTTATTCTGTTTCATTTAATGGCGTAGGTAGGAGGTTATAGCGGATCAGAAATTTTAAAATCTGTTGAATGTTATGATCCTAATCTTGACACTTGGACGTCAGTTGCAGAAATGTCAGTAGGTCGCTTTGGTGTTAGTATTGGAGTTCTAGACGGTGTTATGTATGCTGTGGGTGGTAATAATGGATCAGGACATCTTAAAAATGTCGAAGCTTATAGACCAAGTACTGGAGTTTGGTCATCTATTGCTGATATGCACTTGTGCCGATTCAATCCTGGTGACTATAATAATTACTTTTTTGAAGACAATATTTGTAGATAACCAATTATTTAAAAATTACATTTTTAATATAGGAGTATTTGCATTAAATGGTTTATTGTATGTTATTGGTGGAAAACGTGGATCTACTTGTTTAAATTCTGTAGAAATTTACAACCCCATCACAAATACTTGGACCATAGAAGCATTGCCTAAAAGTTTTGATCAAATCATTGGTGGAGTAGTGGTTGATAGGTTACCTCAGTTTAGAATAAATTCGCATAAATGATATTGTTGTTTATTTACAAACATTTATTGTTATTGTGTTTACAATTTATTATGATAAAAAGTGTATTGTTATATTTTTACTGTTTTATCAATTTTAATTTTTTATAATTGTTATTACTTAACACTTAAAATATTTTATTTGACCATTTATTTTTAAATCAAAAAAATATGGTATAAAATATATTAGATCATTCACTTAAAGTGTATGATAATTGTTCAAGATATACTATGATAATCGTTTGCGTGCGATAAGTTCGTCGACTTTATCGTCGCCCTCCTCCCCTCTTGTATATATGGCATCGGCGTCTTTGACCACCGCTGTCCAAAGGAAACTCTAAACTCACACTTAATAGTCTCGTTCGACATCGTCGAGAGTCGAGACGTGGCCCCACTCTTGGCCCGTGTGTGCCGTTAAATCTTGTGCCCGTTGCGTCGTGTGTTTTTACATCCAACAAGGGCTTTGACCTTTTAGGTCGTTGCACACTTATTTTATTATAAATTTTGTGTCGTCGTTGTATTCGTCGCGCACGTCGCTCTTGCCATGCATACATTAAAATTAAAATCTGTATATATAAAAAGACTTGTCCTGGGTGATTCATCATCGCCTAGCCGGAACTGCTGAAGTTATGGATATGGAATTTTCAGTAAATGTATTTATTACTATGTATAGGCGCATTAAGAAAGGATTTTTCGAAATTCGCATTTTAAGGGTAAAAAAAGCATAAAATAGTTCATTTTTAATTACCGGTGGGTGAGGTTCGCGGTACGGCAGCCGTCGACGCGCGGTGGCTAGACGTGGCCGCCCAAATTTTTTATTAATAATTTTAATAAATTCTTACATTATGTTCAGTTTTTTACTGAGGTTATCGATTTCATCTGTACTAAAAGACACAGAATTTCCTAATACGCTATTTTTTAATTTTTTATTAACGTAAGAAACGAAAAAATCGTAAAGTCTTTACCAATATGATTTTTAAAGGATAGTGAAGAAGTATGTATTATACCTAGATCCTTTACCTTAAAGAATCGATTTAAGGATGTTTTACTAAGGTATAAATGTAATCGACGAAATTTTATGATCTAGAATACGGTACAACTTTACACTTATCCAAGTTTGGAGTTAGGCCAATATCGTAACTGTCTTATATGAATACAGATATTTTAATTTAATACGTATCCATTATAGAGTTACTAAGACAAGCATTTTACAAATTTGCGATATATATTCATATCATATTTTAGAAAACAATATTTTTTAAATACATTAGTTAAGCATTTTTTGTTTTTATTTAATATTGTAAATTTAAACCAAATCCAGGTAAATTAAAAAAAAATATTGTTATAAAATATCAGAGTTTTAATTCTATATATCTAGCTAGGTTGATATCTTAATCCTAGATGCCCTATAATTATAAAAACTATTTACAATCGCGCTGCTAAAAATGTGTCGACATGTATCAGAAATATATGTTAATGTTACAAAAAATGGTAGAGCCAGTCAAGGACAGTCATAACTATACTAAATTTAATTATTGAAAAATATTTAAGCACATATATATAATATTTACAATCAATTACTCACGTATATTTTAAAATAGAATATCGATTATAACATTAATTATTAAGTTCTAGGGTTCATACAGCCAAAAAAAACGTACCCACTCACCAACAAAGGATGGCTATGTTTAGCACAGTGAAACCTCTATTAATGGACACCTCTCAATAGTGGACCCTTTCTAATAGTATATTTATTTAAAATCAAAAACTTTATTTTTCGTAACTAAAATTTGTGAACTTTTCCGTTTTAATATTACGTACCTACAGCACGGTTATTATACTACTTGTACCTATAGAAGTGTATGAATACGTGGGCTCGAGAATTCAAGTTAAACATGCCTAATACAGTAATACATTTGACACATCATAAACAGCAAATTGGTACATACTTGCTTACCTTTTTTTAATTGTTATATTATGAACAACTTATGACGAAGTTTCCATTCAATTTATAAATTTAGATTTAGTATTATTCAGAAAAAAACTACCGACTATACTATACTTAAGTTCTATTATTATAAACATTTTTTTTTTCTTTAGTATTTCATCGTGTTAAAGTAATTTATTATTTTTGCAATTTAAAGTGGTGCAATAATGTTAAATGATTTATAAAGTCAATTCATGATATCACGTAGTACGTTTATTTTTAATTTCATAAATACCTAAATAAATTAACATAATTTAACAATATATGGAGACCTCACGTGAGCGCTGGCAAAGGACGGCGACAACCGCGTGTAAAACCACCGGTAGTCGGCGGCTGCCAGTTGTTGCCGGGAGTGCATCGGCAGATACAGTAGATACATTTTATCAGCTGAACGGCGTCCCTGTCGTCGATCGTCGTCGTCGCTTCGTTCTTCGAAGTGAATTTGGATGTCTACCCATAAAATTATCGTTATTAATGTCTTAGTCATTTCAATTTAAAGGTTATAAATTACCTGTACCCGACGGCGGCGGCTGAAAGACGATGGATGCGAGAATGAGGAACGATGGATGAGAAATTGGGGAGAGGTATGAGGAATGGGTGAGAGGGATGAGGATGACGTAATGGAAGGTGTTGGTGTCACCGGCGTTTGGGCCTGTTGACGTTGACCCGATTGCCGTTGGTCAACGTGATCGGTGATGCGGCGAGTGCGGCGTCAACGCCCTCAAGTCCACTAAATGACACAAAGGCATAGTTCGATTCCATCTGTTTCCCGGTCCGATCAAAGCCGTTCTTAATGCGGACACTTACTACCGTACCGAATCGGTCAGTGTGGACGGTAGTGAGTGTCCGACAAAAAGTTGATACTCGTTGGACGGCTTTGATCGCTGGGTGTGCGGCTGCGGACGGGACGACGGTTGGGGACAATCGGTGGAGGGCTCTAATAGATCAAACCAGCTGGGCTTCGGGTGGCCGGTCGACAGTAGCTGGTCGGGGCGGCGCGGCCGGTCGAGACGGTGTGGCCGGGACAGTACTTGGATGGCGGCCGTTGCGCGATGCACGCGTGCTGCACGGTGGACGCGACCACCGTGGACGCCCCGCGTGCATCTACGCGAACTACGAAGATTGTATGTATCGTTCGGTGGTCGCCGTCACCAAATACTGACCGGGCGCGCACCGAACGGTGTGGATTGACAAAACTAACACGGGCTCCAACCGCTTTGAATAGCTCGCGCAACTCCGACCGGCCTGTGGCCACGGTTCGCGAGCCGTCCCCGTTCGTTCGTTTGTAAGTATTGGGCGTTCTCCGAGTAGGTACAGTTCCCAAACATCCTACGGGTTATTGTATAGAGTGGTGTAATAGCGTCCGACCACTTGGTGACCGACGGCAATCACGTCGTGGCCGTACTCGCCGCTGCTGCCGTCCTCCTCTTCCGTTTGACAAAGTTGGTCGGTGACGCAGACGTCGACGACTGGACTCGCGTCCGTCTGACACAATTGGTCGACGACGGGACACACGACTAGGTTATATTTATTATATATACCTATTATTTCACGTAGGCGTAAAGATCGGGAATTGGCATCAAACAGTATAATCCTTACCGGTGTTCCAGCGGAGATTTTCACGCGATCGCGTTGTTTGAGATCCAAGTCGTCGATATAGGTGATATCCATGATTTATTATTATTGTTATTATTATCATTTGTGTTTTGTATATACCGATTATTGTTATACTAATTCTTGTCATATTACGTATTTGGGCGCCCTATTTTTCACCCTATTATTATTAATTTAGTACATCAATATTTCTAATATACATATAATATTATAGCACGACGGTGCGTAAAACAAATTTGTTTATAATATTTATTATATATTTTATTTTTGGTCACCTGTCCTTTTTACAGGTCACCTTATTATTATAGTTATTAACGAGATAAATCTCTGGGTGTTATTTTCTTGTTTACAATATTTTCTCATCATCATTTAAGGCCAACCGCCATCCCCGTAGGAGCCTTTGTGGTACAATAATATTGAATATAATCTCCATAATATTTTGATCTCTAAATCAAGTGTATATTTTTGATTTAGAACCTAGAAATTAATTTTATTTATAGAATATCGAATGGTACACAATATATTATAACTTAAATCGACCCCGCAATAGAATTCCATATTCCAAAAATATGTTTTATCCAACTACCTAAGCAATAGTCTTTGGTAACCTAGTTTCCTATTTCTTTCGATGATTGTATACGGTTTTTTTTTTTACTAGCATTTCACTTCTTTTCCTTTCATCAAAGTCTCTACCTTTATACCATCATTATTAATATTTTAAATATTCAAATAATATTCTATGAGATATTCTTATAATATTCTCGACGATTTTTCATTTTGGATTTCTGACCATTCCGTCGTCCTAGTAGCAAATTCGTTGTCATATTTACCAAAATAATTATAAATCGATTTATAGGTTAAACATTTATTTTGTTTTTATGTTTAATCATTGATTTAACGATATTTTTGAAAAGATTTTCTTTCACGAATAATTCAATAACAGTGATAAACAACTATAGGTATATTATATGTTGAGCATGGATTTTTAAGCACTTGAAAGTACCTATCAAAATATACAATAAAAATCATGAAAATATGGAAGACATTTTTTTTTAAATTTTCAAATTCAACAGCTTATAATAATTAATTATTTAAATACTAAATGAAAAATTTTCTTATTATTAATTAATAATTGTTAAATATCATAATAATATTACATTATATCGTGTCGTCACCGTTAGTCCTACCCAAGCCGATTTAATAATTATTACATAATATTCGCTTTCACTCACTCTTTCGCGAAATCGTTTTTACTATACAGTTTATATATTCGACTTCAGGCATTAACTCGTATGTTTTGAACTTATATTATCATTTTAGATCATCTCAAATACTAAATCTGACAAATTAAAACTAATGCACTCGAAAGATGTATGTTCGCTGTATGCGCGTGTCGGACTAGACACTAACAATTTGTGTTC